TGGAAGTTAGCAAAAGCCAGCTAACTGCCCAGCTCATATACTAGAGGAAGTGAGCAGTTTCTTGACCCCAGGAGTCCACCCAGACCCTATTTCCACACAAGTGCTCAGACTACCATTACTTGATTTAAACCTCATCACTTCAAACTCAACTGGGATACAACCTCCATTTTATTTTATTTTGTTTTATTTTTTTACTTTTTTAAAAAAAATATTCATTTTACATAGCAACCACAGATCCCTCTCTCCTCCTACTACCCCCAGCCTCCCCTGCCCCAATCTACTCCCATCCCCTCCTCCAAAAAGGGTAAGGCCTGCCATGGGGAGTCAGTAAAGGCCTGGGACATTCAGTTGAGGCAGGACCCAGTCCCCCACCCCCTCCTGCATCAAGGGTGAGCAAGGTGTCCTACCATAATGGGCTCTAGAAAGCCAGCTCATACACCAGGAATAGATCCTGATCCCACTGCCAGGGGCCCCTCAAACAGATTAAGCTATACACAACTGCCTCCTGTATGCAGAGGGCCTAGTCCAGTCCCACGCAAGTTCCACAGCTGTCCACAGTCCCCATTTTATAAACAAAAGGAACACCTAACATTTAAGCTCTCACTAATGTTGCAAGCACTCAATGTATATCAACATAATCCTCACAACAACCTTAATGGAAGGAATACTTTTATCTCCTTTTTCTTTGAAATGGAAAAAAAGGTTGAGAAACTTGTACACAGTCACTAAGATGATGGTGGAACAAAAATTTGAACTCAAGTCTATGGCATCATACTTTCTATCCTATCTAAAGCCCTTTAGATCCAGGGCTCAGAAACAGTGCCAGGTGACAGAGCTTGTAAGTGATGACATCGTGGGGGCATAACTAAGGAACCAACACATTTTTGGTCTTCCCATATAGGGTGGTGGTCCTCCTGTGGGGAATGAAATCAATTTAATGACTCAGGAACAACATTCAAACAGGAGAAAAAAGAGATGGGGGAGGGAGAAGAGAAAAGAAAAAAAAGAGGGAAAGGAGAAAAATAAGAAAGGAAAAGATGATCTACCATATGTGGTTAAAATAGTATTCTTCCATGAAACTTTTGTTCCATTATAATGTGCATGCTAAGTTGTTGTGGAAAAAAATGTCTTTCTAACTGGATTATAGCACAAAAGGTGATTGAATTATGTCCCAGCTTAATAATCATCAGGAAAATAAAAATTAAAGGTAACAAGATATCACATTTTCAGAGGCAAAAATGTGTAGAAACAATCTATATGCCTATAAACAGGGAAATGATTGAATAAATTGTTATATATGCACACTATACCTATTAAAGAATGACTTAGGTCTATCCATACTTAACTGGAGTAATTCTCCATGATTAAATAGGAAAAGCATTGCAGATAAATAAATACATGTGGTATGACCACATTTCTGAATCATCAATGATGAAATATCTAACACAGTTGATTGGGTGGCAGACTGGAAGGACAAAGGAAAAAAAGAAGAGTAGACAGTAAGAAAAAGAACAAGAAAACTTGTCAATCAGGAAAAATAGGGACACATACCATTTGGAAGTCCTTAGGAAAAAGAATATTTGCACAACCAAAGTAAGTGGCAAATAATCCAATAAAGTGACAACCGCATCCCTCAGAATCTCAAATAGATATGTTACAGGATACCCTACCCATAACACAGAAATCCATGAATGCCTAAGTCCCTTATACAGAGAGTAGCATGGTATTTACATAGAACCTACACACACACACACACACACACACACACACACACACACACACACACACTTCCACACACTTTCAAGATTTTTAAAAAATGATTTATTTTTATGTGTATGGGTGTTTTGCCTGTGTGTATGCATGTATGTATACCACATGTGGGCCTGGTACCCAGGGATGTCAGCAGAGAACTGGAGTTACAGATGGTTGTGAACTACCAGCTGGATGCTGAGAACCAAACCTAGGTCCACTGCAAGAGCTGCAAGTGAGCTTAACCACTAAACCATCTGTCCAGCTCCCTCCCATACACTTAGATACCTTATCCCTAATCAAATGTAAATGCTATGTAAAACAATTGCATTACACTTAGATAAAACTGGCAAGGGAAAATTATTTGCTAATGTTCAATGTAGACACAATTTTTTTCTTTATTATTTTTTCAGGTGTAATTGGTTGAGGCTACAGATGTAGAATCTGTGGGTATGGGGGATTGACTATTTACAATTGTGGAGTAGATTTAGGAACCCCCATTCCCCCTCCCCCTGAAAAAAAAACAAAGAAACAGGAAATCTTCCAGTTTCTATAGAGTGTTAATAGCAAAGGACCAGTGCAACCCACTGAGTCTGGAGAAGCATGCGAGAACAGTTACTGCAACCAGGAGTGGGCAGTTATATTAACCTCTGAGAAGGTGCTATGCATCTAGAGGATGTGACTGGCAGGGAGGGAGATGATTTCCCCACCTCTCACCCTTCCCTTCATTGCCAGTGCATCCCTCTGGCTATGCAACTGAAGGTGCTTAAGGGCAAGGGGACCAATGGATACAGCCTAGAAAGGTCAGGCCCAGGGATGACTAAGTAGGCTCAGAATAATGGAAGCTGTGAGACAAATGCATGATAGCCAACACAGAATAGGAAAATATTTTATGGAAAGGTAGAATACTGACCACACCCCTCATTGTTCCAGGTTACCAGGGCAAATGACAGTACTGATTTCCTTAGACTGGTTGACTTATTACAGTATCTCCAACAATACTTATATTAAAAAGACAAATTTTCTTTTTATGGGATGTGGCCACAAGTAAAAGACATTAAGGAACAAACTCAGCACCTTGTGATTTCTCAACACATATTCTGCCACTGTGCTATACCCTCAGCCAATGTTTTTCACATTTATTCTTTGCAGTAGAACAGATCTAAATTAAAATTATGGCTTTACCATATACTTGCTGTTTCCAAACTTCCTCATCTCTGAAATAGGAATGAAAGTATCTACCTCCTCAAGTTTCTAGAAGGAATAGACAAGCTAAGAGCTTTTGAGATCTCAGACTAGTAGTTGGTATATAGTAATGGGACAAGAGCTTCCTAGTGGACCTACCTGCCAATGGGACATCAAAGAACTTCACAGTTGGTTTGCCTGTCTCCACCCCTAGCTCCATGAAAGGGGCACACCTGATCATGCTGTTTTCTTACTTATAATTTTTTAATAGTACATCTTAAAATAAGTTTTAAATGTGGCTAGAGGTATAGCTTAGTGTTTGCCTAGTATGATTGAGGACTTGAACTCAATCTCCAGCCCTGGGTTTGATCCCAGGTACCGAAAAAAGTAACAAATAGTTAAGAAAAATTTAGTGAGCCAAGTGTGTGTGGTGGTGCATGACTATAATCCCAGCATGTGGGAGGTGGAAGCAGGAAGATCAGGAGTTCAAGGCCATTCTCAGATACATATTGAGCTTGGGTTGCATGGCAGCCTGATTTTTTTCTTCTTAATTTAATGCTTGTATTGGAAATACTAATTGTCATTATTCAATTACTGTACACATATATCAAATTACCATACCATATTGCATAAATGAGTGCAATTAAAATATTTTTTAAAAACAGAAATAAAAATATTTATTAGTGGCCTCCAGTTGTTCCAGAATAATATTCAAACCTCACCCCCGCCCTTGCAGGCACCTCCAACCTTATCCTTCTCCACTCTTCCCCACAGGCCTTTACTCCAGCCACAGCAATTCCTCCAGTGTCAAGCCGCCCCATGTCCCAGAGCACTCTTAGTAATGTCTTTGCCATACCACCATGTCATATTACTTTCCTACTTTACTAACTCTCACTATTCGTCTCTGAAATATCAAATGAGACCTTCCCAAGACTATGCGTTATTCCTCTTCCTGATTTAGAAGTAGCTATTTTCATTTCACAGTATCCTATGCAAGCTATATGCATCAAGTCAAACCCCAAATCATGAGTGTACTGATTCCACATCAGGAACAGGCTCCTTCAAAGGAAGCAGTTATCCTTGAATGCCAGCACAAAGCCGAGAACATGCTGAGAATGGATCCTTAACCTTCATTTATCTGAAGGTTATGTCTATGAGTGAATGAGGTTTGAAACTTAATTCACCTGATGTCATTCAGATAAGTAAGCAGAAGAGCCAGATTTCAATACCACCTCTGTTGACGACAATGGCCAATACTGCCCCTCAACCAACTGGAAGTTCTAAGGTTTTCCCTGACACTCCAGAGAAGCTGTATGCTTGAGAGGCCTACTGCCAGAGGCACTAGGCAAGCTCAGGCCAGAATGCGCTGGTCAGCAGAGACAGAATAAATCCTTCTTTTCTGGGATTATCAACCACATGACATTTGCTTTATCAAGGGGCTTTCCCATGAAAATAAATTTCTGGAGCATGTTACAAGCTACCACGCACCCACACACTCCTTAAAAACAATTGAGGTGATCTTAGAGAATGAAGATAATTCCACAATGCTGAGGTCCCCATCTGAGCACAGAAACTTTGTTTCTCCTAACCAAGCATTTTTCTATTGAATTTTTCTTTTCAAGTTGGGTCCACCATAAAATGAATCTCCATACACTATTGTTTCACACATGGTAAACCTGCATACAAAGCCACAGATATACTGAGGGTTCCTGGCATAGATACCATCTAAGATTTGCCACTATGGATTAGGATGATATTACCAGAATCCCATGATAAGAGTGTTTATATCTATTTATAACTGTAACCTATTATCCTATTTTCTATATAATTGGATGCAATTGAGGCTAAAAACTATTCAACTGCAAAAGAAAAGTCCTATTCCTCTAGAGCAGATGTTTGCTCAACATGGAAAGTGAATTAGCCTGCAACAGAAATACCCCAAAAGATACTCTTTCCAAAAGCAATGATGTTGCTACATTCCATTGGAAAATAATTTAAAGATATAACATGTTAAAAATACAAGGGAGGTATCCCTAGCTGATTTCTAAAATAAGCATAAAAATTACCTCTTTAAGGTATGGTGGGGATTGCAGTTCAGGTGTTGGATTCATTCTCCAGTTCAGGATAGAAAAAAATAACTCGTAATTTATTTGTTGTTCTTTGTCTTCAAACCTGAAAGCATATAATTTGACTCAATCTGCAGAATTTAGGACCACAATTCCAGCTTATGTTGTACCTTAAAACATATTATCATGTACGCTTCAGTAGCTAATGTTATCATCATTACTTATTAGTTGATTATCTACTTCTGACCCTCGCAGAATAGTTCTTTGAAAGCAGAAATCTCACCTATCTAATTGTTCAGTGGTAGTGGTTGGCAGGAGTTCAATAAACATCCTATGTGCTTACCAAACAAAATTTGGTAGCTAAGACCACCACTGCCTTTTGTTCAGAATATTTGAAGGCCTTTTTATTTTAGTGGTTGATATATGTCAACAAAATAAAATGCTCTTGTTGTTCTTAAATTAGATACCATTTAAATATTTAAGACAAGCCTGGATTAATTTTGTCTACTAGTATATTTTAAAGAAAAGTAAAAGGCATCTTTATTACTATCATGTAGCCATTAAAAGATGTCATTTAGATCCATATTAGAAGTGACAGAATTCATCCTCAACTTTACATAACAGAATTTTGATCACTGAGAGGATAATTTCAACATAATTGTTGTAATGACTCAAATAGTAACTATTTCTTGATGTAATACCTCAAGCCATTTTTCCTGAATTTGGCCATATCCTAACAAATTTTCAGGCAAATTCATCTCCTTATACCAATATTTAGGGAAATTATAAAGGTATCAAAAAATATTATTCCAAGCACCCTGCTCCAGGATTCCAGCCTTAAAATACATGTGCACAATTAGTCAAAAGATGTTTCTCTTTTCTTTCCAAAGTGTTAAGAAAATAATAGCTAGTATTTACAAATTCATAAAAATTCACAGAACCCAAAAGATCATAAGCTGGAGTAATATAGATTTCATCCATCTAAACAGAGTTATCAGAACACAGGAAATGGAATTCTGTAATTCTTTTGTGTACATTTTCTTTGGCCAAGAATTCTGGGATACAACTCCAATATGTTGCCCCCTACCACTGTTTATCCTTTGAATTTTGGCTCACTCATCAGTCCAACTCTTTTAAAGGACAGCCTCTGTTTATGAGCATATTTATAGTCGAAATGTGGGACCATTATGTCTTTTGTTTGTGTATGTTTCTGGGGAACAATGAAAACTCAACTAAAGATGTTTGGTGAAAAGTGTTCCATTAGCAGAAAGTCTTAAAGAATACATTTCTTAATATTCTGAGTGGGACTGGAGGTCAGAGAAGGAGAACATACAGAATCTTTGACTTTTATTCTGAGGAAATATAGGAGCTACTGGAGTATATTCTACAAAAAAAGTTACTTATAGGACCTGCAATATTCTGAATGATCAGGTCCTTCCCAAATTTGTACTCTGAAACTTAAGCATCAAGGTAATGATATTAGGAAGTGAGATGTGTATAGATCATAGGGCAAAGCCTTCCTGAAATCAGTCTATGAGAGCACATCACAGTAGCATGTCTGTAATTTCAGCACTCAAAAGGGAAATAATGGTGATAGAGTTTGGAGTTTGAGGCAGTCTTGGGCTACATAGTAACACCCTGTCTTGAACTACCAGAAATAGATATGAAAATAGGATAGAAGGGAAGAAACCACAGAGAACTTCCTTGCTCCTGCCATGTGTGGGCACAGCATGAAGAAGCCATTCAAAAAGCAGGTGAGGGCTCTCAACCAGACATTCAATGTGTTAGCATTTTTCTTTTCTTTTCTTTTAATTTCTCACCTGCCAGAATTGTAAGAAGTAGTTTTAGTCTATGGTGTATTTTTGTAGCAGCCTAACAAGACTAAAATAGGCCATAACATATATTCAAAGCTTATTCTAATAGTCTAACAGATATGAGTAAAACACTGGGGGCACCATAGAAGTGGCAGGAGTAGTTAGTGATCTCTTTCAAGTAGTCTAGATAAGTATGATGGTAGTTTAGACAAAGGTGGCAACAGTGAGGAACTGTCAATTCTGAATGCATTTCAAAAGTAGGCTTCCTGAAAGACTACACACATGCACATACACACACATAATATTTGAGAGTATAGACACAAACACACACATACACTATAGTGATGGGGAGGTAGGTTTGAAGATTATTTGAAGCCTTCTGATTGAGCAACTGGCTAGACAGGCCTACAAGAGGGAGGCAAGACCCAGAGTTTAGTTTTAAATATGCTGCTTTTAGAGAAGATTTTTTTTAACTTCTTTTATTTATGTGCATGTGTGTATGTATGTGCCTGTGTGACAGTGTAACACATGTATGTGTATCCATGGATGCCAAAAGAGGGTATCAGATTCTCTGGAACTAGAGCTATAAGCAGTTGTGAGCTCCCCAACATGAATGTTGATAAACAAACTCAGGTCCTCTGGAAGAGCAGCAAGTACTCTCAACTGCTGAGCTATGGCTCAGATTAGATACAATACTTTTCAATGAGAAGTGAGAAATAGAGACAATGAGTCTGAAGATCAAAGAGGAGGTCTCTTTGATATGGGAGTCATTTGCTATATAGATGATATTTCAAAGGTACAAGACTGGGAAACCGGATGAAATCATCAATGAAATAATTTCTATTTGTTCTTACAAATGAGAGTGTGATTGTCAGGAAATGCCCACAACATGAATTCCAGAGGACACTTATTCAACCCTAGAGTTTAGAATCATAGTAGTTCACTAATTTTGGAACCAGTCAATATCCTTACCAAATAGATCTAGGGTCACATCCAACTTCACTCCTCACACCCATAATCTACTGAGCAGTCCTGTGAGTTAAAACTGCCTCAGCAGCATATATTACAAATCTACCTAATCTCTGACTATCTCTTTCACTCCTCTTCAATCTAAACCACTTTCACCACTCACTAAAATTATAGCAACTGTTTCTCATCTTGCGCTTATTCCTCCTATCTACTCTTCCATTGCACCCTCCCTCAGAGAACTCACTCGGAAATATAGAGCCATTCTGTTACTTCCTTGCTTGAAATCCTCCAGTGGCTTCCCATTGGATTCAGAATGCAACCTAAGATCTTTAGCCAGGTATACAAGAACCAACTTAATTTGGCCATTGCTGGCATTTCTGATCACAAATGTCACCTGAAAACTCGCTCCCTGTCTGGTATTTTAGGTCTGCTGGCCTTCTGCTTCGCTGATCATGCTAAGATTGCCCCCCAGAAATGCAAGGCATTTGTAACTTCTGCTTTTTTTTTGTCTGTGTAAATTCAGTTCAAATAACTGCTTCCATAGGAAAGTCTTTCTGAAATGTATCTTAGCTGAAGCCCTTTTCCTGAATTTGCATTTACCCTGGATTTGCATTTGCACTCAGAAAAATTTTGAGAAGTTACTATGCGAAGATCTATTAGATTTTTGCATAACTAATTTTGATATTTGTTCATGTTTCCTGTTCATCTCCTAACTGCACCGCTCCTTCCCAGCCCACCTCTTATGTAAGACTCAACACATCTAATTATTTACCTATTTAGAAGGATATTTGTGAAGGGTATTTTTGAATCAAGTGATAATAAGGATCAAATATGCTAATAAATAAAAGTGTACACATCTCAGATACATATGAAAAAATTTGTAAAGAAATGAAAAGCTTCATCTTTCCCAAGTCCCAGAGCCAGGCTTAAAGACAGAGTTAGTTAATGTGGTAAAACACTCCAAGGTTTCCTTTCTAGTTCTTTCTCAGAAGACCTTTGTGTATGTGAGAATACCCCAAAGGGTTGAAGGGGGAAAAACAAACTTTCAATTTAAAGAGATAAGGCTGGCTGAAGCTACTGGGAAGAATATTTTGTTCTTGGGAAGTATTCAGTGAATAAGGCTGGATCAACACAATTTTTTTCTCTCTCTTATATACTAATTCTCCCCTTTTACCTATAAGGAAATAAAAACAGGAATACAAAAGGAATATAGGCAACAATGACAGAGACAGCTGGGGACAAGGGGAGAAGACAATGGAAAAAGGATTTCAAAATGTGCTGCAAGATGAAAAGCAGATCCTGGATTAATATCAGACTTGGAAGAGCAGAGGAATGGAAGCTGAGCACTTTGTGACCATGGGAGGGAGCTCAGCTATTTACTGACCCACAGAAGTCCTAAGAGGCTCGGGGAATAAACACTCTATGTATCAATCAAGCAGAAATAAAGTGTGGTACTGAACCAAGGATTAGTTGAAGGCACAAGTGGTTAAACCACTAAGTAACTTTCTTTATATACTCACTAGTGGGGAAAGGGTTAGCTCCAGAGAAATTAAAGCTAAGGAAGTACCAGTCCTAGGGAGGTAGAGCATTATGGAGGCAGAGGAGAACATTACATCCTCAATTTAAGGATGATCAACTCCTTTCCTGCTCTTCCCCAATTTCTAGAACATCAATGATCAACGCTCCTCCCCTCTCCCAATGCATCCTCTCTCTTACTGCAACAGAAAGAAAAAAAAAAAGAATGTTCTCTCAATACAAGGAATGGTTCTGTTGAAACCTCTAGATTCTAATTTCTAGTTTTTCCCTATTGGAGCTGAAGCTTCAGGAATTAATTTGTGTAGTGAAGCTCATTGTCAACAAGACATTCCCTGTCCCCACCAAACACCCACCATTAAGGACAGAAGTAAAAAGATGACAAGGGAAAACAAAGGCAGCAGAAGCAGAGAAACAGAAACTATTCAGGAAGTAGATAGCAAGATGTGAAATGGGCAAATATATTGTCGTCCTGAAAAGAAAACAGAAGATAAGAAAGGAACATGTGACCTGAAAACATGTTCTTGGAATTAAAAATATGATAGTAATAAGATGACTCCATAGAAGGCATCACAATCCCCGACTTCAAGCTCTACTATAGAGCTACAGTAATAAAAACAGCCTGGTATTGGC